TTCTACCACCAAAGCACCTATAGTCCTCCACCATAGTCCACTGTGCTTTCCTCTACTGTTTTCTACTCTGCTCTTTCTCTCCCCCTCCTAAATGCCTTAGATTTATGCTAGAATCATAGTAGTTTGTCTTTGTCTGATCCTTTGTATATTTTCTCTAGTTTACAAATATAAGTGAAACCATCCAGTACTGATTTTTCTTCTTCTGACTCACTTTATTCAGAATAATCCCTTCCAGCTCCATTCATGTTGCTGTAAATGGCATGAGTTCATCTTTTTTGATCACTGAGTAATATTCCACTGTATGTATATGTGTGTGTTTGTGTGTGTATCACATCTTCTTATTTATTCATCTGTTTTGGGACATTTATAGTGCTTATCTTCACTATTGTAAGTAGTGCTACAATAAACATAGGATTGCAGGTTTTCTTTCAAATTAGTGTTTGGAATTAGAGTATGGAAAAGGAGGTTACTCAAGAGACTAAAATGTATCAACCATGTGGCCTTGCAATCCCACTCCTGTGTATCTATCCGAAGAGCACAAAAGCAAGGGCACAAAAAAAAATTTTTTTTACTTTCATTTTATCATAAGCCAGATTTTGATTTTTAAAAAATTAAAAACATTTTTTGTTGTTTTTTTAAGTACATATGTATCTTAAAAGTATTATCAACAGTATCTAACATGAGACAGAAAATGGCAACTAAAAGGAGTTAATCATATATATACCTTGGAGGTTGTTTTCAGTTTCATGACACCAATGAATGTGTTCTCAAGATAAATCTACTCAGGAAGAAATGTCCAAGTGGTCTTTCCAAGTAGGCACATATTGAAATTAATTTTTAAAAATGCTACTTAAATACAGTCCAATATATGGTATTTCAGCTGTGCATAGTCAGGGAAGGCAGTTTTCTTGAAAGATCTACTTTTTTTTTCTTTTTAAGAGAAGCAGAAGCACTACTATTGACCCTCACCTTAAGCATCTAACTTTCTTTTTATGTTTTTTTATTTAAGAAGGAAAAAAAGAAACAAAAAAAAAAAACTTGCGTGACTTACTGTTTGAATAATTGCTTGTCATCTAGAATATGAAAGCATTATGAGAATTGTTTTTACTTTATAAAAATTGATTAGTCAAACCCCTATAGGTTTCTTATCTGTGCTATAGTATTATATTAATGTAGCATTCCTGCAAGTGAATTTACTGTTAGTATACTGACCTAGTGATCCTGGTAGTCAATATTCCAAGATTACATGACAGTTCTTTAAAACTGGAAATTCTTAAATTCTATCATCAGTAATTAGCCTTCATCATCCTACAGAAAGATTTTCAGGGCCTCCTTAGTGGTGCAGAGGTTAAAGACACAGCATTATCAAGTTATTGCCAGTCACTGCAGCATGAGTTTGATCCCTGGCCAGGGAGCTGACCCACATGGTGCAGCAGACCTTTCCTGTCTTGCCTGCTGCTCCACTCAGCAGTGTATTTCAGTAGATCTGCCTGTTTTTCTCTCATCTCTCTTTCTGGTGAACGCTCTCACCCTCTGCATCTTTGGCCTACACCCCAGTTTTTATATGCAAAAATAAATAAATCTTCAAAAAAAGATTTCATTAGGATAATCATAGATTCATTACTTCTAAAAGTTTCTAGTTATCTGATTATTTTAATATCTCATTTCAAAACCTTATTGTGTTTATGGTCCCTATGTTTTATTGTCTTTTTATTTTCACTCTAGAATCATAAACTGCATCTTAAATTTGTCGTATGCAAGTGTATACATGTGTGCTAATTAAAGAGAATATTATATTAGCTTAACACCAGAAAGAACTTCCTGTTGTAGAAGGGAAAATACAAATCGTTATAAAATACTGTATGACCAGTAAAGTTAGAATACCATAAATCTGGCACATGGATACAGCATTTTGGAGAACAACCGCTTTTGAGTAGCTGTTTCCCCTGAATACAACATAGATACTGGGATATTAGTTACAGATTTTTATGACTCTGTTAGCTCATGTATATTTCAAAGGAGTTCTGGAATATTTGATTCATTTTATAGTAGCATTGAAGAATCATGTAAATTTTTAAAAATTAAGGTATGTACCCCAGCTATGTATAAAAATCTTTGCTAAAATGTCTAATAAAATGCTAAAAGAAGTAGATTTATAAGGCTATTTCTTATATGGAGATTGATATTTTCATTTAATATTCTTCACTCAAAATATGTTGAGTGATTTTATGTTATACAGGTTACTTAATTAGTTGCAAAATTGACTTTTACAGCTAAGAACTGCTATTCTTTAATATTTGCTGAATTTTTAAAGATAAATCATTACAGTCACTATCTCTAACATGAACTTTAATTAATTGGCATCTGAATGGTTGAGGGGGAAATTATCAAAAAGTTAAAATATTTAAGAGGAAGGTTGGAAGTAATTTAATAATCTGGTGCATTCTAATTTTAGTAGTTTGTGTTTTCAGATCATTGTTTTTACATCCTCTTAAATGAATATTGAATAACTTATTAAAGATGAGATACTTCATAAGAAACCATATACACTTATCCACAAGATAAGTATGTTTTTTAAAGTTTGTAGAAGCAAGAGTGATGTTTGTTAAAAAGCAAGGTTAGAAACTTCCTACCCATATCCTATACTTAACAATACTATAAAATTAAATTGACCATTCTACAATGAATCTTGAAATTCAAGTCTCAATCAGGAGTGAAAAGTAAAGTTCTCACATTCTTAAAAGACTTGGGTAACAACAAATCATCAAAGTAAAAGCACCCAAGGTATAAAAAATATGTGTATGTCTAAAAATTTTTTAAACAAATGTGATAATCTCAAATTGTTAAGAAACTAGTAAGTCAATTATATTTTACTCCATTTTGTAAAATATAATCAGAAATATTTGAATAGATTAAAATATTGTTGGTAGTACATGCCTTTATTCATAGAATAGCGTTACACAACAAAGTCAAATTCCATTTGACTCCTGCTTACTTCAATGGTACCTCATGTCAGACAGGAAGTTCAAATTTTTGTATTTAAGGTATATATTTTTAGAATATATAGTTTTCATCAAAACTGCTGGTGTGGAGACTGAAATATATTCTTAGTTACTGACTGACCACTAGTCTATAGTGCAATATATATTTAGGGGATAGATTCACATCTCTATAAATATATGTACCAGAAAAAACCATGGCCAAGTTCTAGTATCATTCATGGGACAACTTATCAATGCTACAAATGCACATTATATCACCTTGCAGTTCAGATTCTCACCAATTTTCTTCATGAATCACAGGTGTAAAGTTTGAAAATCAGCTTGAAATTTGGCAAAAACTCACTAATTCAGAATGGTGTAATTTAAAACTTGTAAGAATTTGGACAGATGCTAGAATTAGTATACCTTTTATTTAATTAATCATTGTTTCCAACAGTGCATAAATTAATTCTGTAGCTCTTCCAAAGAGCATAAATTAACTATGTGAAGTATTATAAGATGTTATTACATAATGGATGGCTTTACATTTTTAAAAATTATATAAAATTAATAACAGGCAAGTGTGATTCTCTTTTCATTAAATTTCTGTTGTTTCTCTATCATAGATTGTAGACATGCATTTATCTACATTTTCTAAATTTATATATATATATATATATATATATATGTAAAGATTTATTTATATATGCATATAGGACTAGGGTACAGGCCAGAGGTACAGGGGCAGTGAAAGGATTCACCAAAGATAGAGTGGGGAGTAGAACAGGCCGCCTGATGAAGTACACTGCTGAGGGGAGCAGCGGGTGGGTCAGGAGAAGTGATCTATCCCACCATGTGTGTCACCTCCTGGGGCGGGAATCGAACTAATACTGAAGTGGCTTTAGCTTCTTAGTGCTGTGCTTTAACCCGCTGCGCCACGAGGGAGGACCCTAAATTTATATATTTTATAAAAACAAATTACAAGGCATTTGAAAGGAGCTGAAAAGAGGACTAAATATGGCTATTTGACACCCAAGGGGTCAGATTCAGGATCTTTACTTATTAAGAGAAAATTATCAAGACATAATATAATAAATAAATACAAATGTTTAGACACTGGTGTCCACACTTCCCTCAAAAAGTTAAATCAGGGCTTTTGCCAGTAAAGCAAATTTGAATGCATTTTTAGTCACACTTTAAGCTGCCCTGATTAAGTAAAGGAGAATTCTTTTAAAGTACCGTATAATTTTATTTTTGAAAAAATAATTGCTTTTAAAACAAATTGTTCTATATAATAGTAAGCTATAATTTTAAAGTGTAATTTGAACATCAGCTCAAAGCTTTTTAATCCATCATCTCAGAAATAGCCATTGACATAAGTGGAATAGACAATCATGTACAAGATACTTTGAAAAATGCTTGTACCTGATCCTACAGATAAACTAACTCTACTAGTATCACATCACACTGAGAGAAAACATATGTACTAACAAAGTTTCACACTAGAGTTCATCAGAAAATCATCTAAAGTAACTTAAGGTTACACATACTGAGAAACACAATGTTGAAAGGTAAACTGCAGGGCCAAGTGGAAGCACCGTGATTAGCTTATCAAGGCAACAGGAATACCCTAGAGCAGTTTCAACCTCCCACGTGAATACATTCTTAAGAGGTCAGTACAGAATTTTCTCGTCAGTGTCACTGAGGTAATCTTTGTAATTCCTCAAAGGAAGATGAGATAATCTGCCACATGACCTTTGTCTATTCCCTGTGGGTGGGTTACCTTAGTTTGAAATAATTCCCTCTTTCCTTATCTTTCCCCATTGCTCCATATAAAACCTTTTCATTTTGCATTTTTAAAATCACATTTTTATTTTCCTGTTGGGATGTTGTCGCAATTCATGAATTTTTTTTCAAATTAACTTGGATAGGCTTTTATCAATAGAATAAATTTCTTATGCAGTTTTAAAAATCAAAGAAAGAGAACTGAGATGAATTATCAAGTGTTTCTTTTCATACCTGTGATTGGGAATGAGTCCATATCTCCACAGTTGTTGACTCTTTCTTGGGGGTACAAGATTGCAAAGCTTCCTTCATTGGCTTTAGAAGAGAAAAAAAGAAGCATTTTTTAAGATGTTTGTTAAAAGTAAAAAGCATCGTACATTGTAACTAGAATATACTTTGAACACAGGTAGATGGAGTAGTGATTTAGTAAATTATACCTTTCCAGACATCATAGTTATTGAGGACTTAAAAAGCGGCAGAAAGATCTTTATGTTTACTGGTCAACAAAAATTCCTTTCCTCAAATACCATACTACACCCAGTGTTGTATTTAAGCCTCCCATTACATAAATAATGGAGTTGTGAGGAACAATTCTTCACTGAGACATCTTTGCAATAAAAGACAGATTTAGGCCCTCCCTGGTGGAGCAGCGGGTTAAAGCACAGCACTAAGAAGCTAAAGCCACCTCAGCATGAGTTCGATCCCCGCCTGCCCCGGAGGTGACCACATGGCGC